GTCCTTGTCCCTTTAAGACTTTCAAAAAGCACTTGCTTTTCTTTGTGCCAGGCGCGCCGACTGCGGGGACCCGCTCACATTTCTTACTGTCCTGTTTCCCTAGTATCCAGCACCCCACCCCTGGGTGCGGATGTCTAGGGTTGGCTATTTAGCAGTCCTGTGCTCCCTCTCCCTCCCTGCTCTGACTCCTCTCCTCCTGCCGGGAGCTGGGGTGAGGGGCACTCGGGTCCTGCCAGGCCGGGGCTTGTATCTTACCCCCTTTGCCAGGCGCTGGGTTCTCGTGGGTGTGTATGTAGCCTGGCTGTTGTCCTGTATCTTCTGGTCTCTCTTTTAGGGATAGTTGTATTTGTTGTATTTTCAAAAATATATATGTTTTTGGGAGGAGATTCCCACTGTTCTACTCATGCCGCCATCTTGGCTCCGTCCCCGGCAAGTAGTGATTTTACAGCATCTTACTACACTGATGAATAGTGACTGTGAAGGGGTTTGTGGGGGGGACTTGGTGAAGGGGGGAGCCTAGTAAACATAATATTCATCATGTAATTGTAGATTAATGATACCAAAAAAAAAAAAAATCCAAGAGATTGTACACTTAAAAATCTGCTTTTGAGGGTAAAGTTTATGTTAAGTTTTCTTATCAAATAAATTTAACTTTTCAAAAAAGGAGTGAATTAATTATCTGAAAAGGACAATTAGAATCCCCTGCCATAACACAAAATAGGTTTCAATATTTGGACATGGAAGTAATATGACATTCAGAATCTATAATAAATGGATTGCTTGGATTTTCATAATACACTTTATCATTGGAAAACCAAGGAGACCAATAGCAAACCCTGTGATTCATTGTTTTCTCTAAGAGGTAGACATTTTCTCTGCAGCCCTCAAGGTTATATAACGTTGCATCGAGATGAATACAGCCAGGTTGCAGTAGTAATATGTTTTTTCTCTGTTAGAGAACCTAGCAAACAGTAGATGAGTCCCCTTGGCTGTAAAAACATCCTGACAAATGTCTAAACCTTTGAAGTAGGTACCAGGTTGAACTTTCAGGAACCGTTCTTGTCACACAAGACGTGCACTAACAGGGACCCACAGTTGCTGCGTGCTTGAGAGTCGGCGTCTTAGCCACAGGCAGGAGAGCTGCCGAGTGTGGTAGCTGTGACCGCCCCGCCGTTGCTAGCACCCACCTGTTGGTGGCCGGCTAGACACTAGAAAGCAAACACATTGAATACAAAAGGCACCAGTACCACAAGCTTTCAGAAGAGCCAATGAGTGCTTCTTCAGGACGTGTACATTTCTCCTTCAAGGTCTGTAAAGGCACATCAGCTTGGTGAGCATTGTTTAAAGCAGAAATCCTAGCAAGCAACTTGGGCGGGAAGTGGGGGAGGAGTACAGACGAGCCCTTTAGCCTCTGGTATTCATGCTAGAAGCAGTTTGGAGTTCTGTAGGGTTTGCCAGACAGGGCCCCAGATAGATGCTAGACTATTTTCTTGCTTTTATACCTATAATTGAGTCTATGCATTTCCGGGAAAGAGCAACAAGCCAAAACTATATCATGTTTGATTTAGAATGCTGGAAGCTGAAAATTATTATTCTCAGGAAATGTCTCCCCAAGCTGCAACTTTAATTAGTACCTGTCCTATAAATTTCACTGTTGTGAGAGTGAAAATAGTCATGAATTTTAGCTTACATTACTTCCAGAAATAGATAAATAATTTAGATAGCTAAATAACTGTGTCAAATGGTTCCAAATTATTATTGCTATCCATGACCACTTTTTCCTTTTCTTTCTAATAATACAAGATTATTTTTTGCCAGATAACTGAGTGATAATAAGAGCATTGAGGTAGCAAATGGATTGCAAAGGCATTCTTTTCATTATATTATTTAAGGGAAAGGAACCTCTTATTCCCAAAGCAATAAATAGGAGCAATGTTGAATAAGAAGAAATGATGGAATATAGAATCAAAATATCCCTCTCCCCCCCCCCATATCACTTGGCTATTGCTTTGTTATCAAAAGCCACAGGATCTCAGTACCATACAGTGATTATTTCTTACACACCTGTGGCTCAGGTGAAGTAGGTTGGGTGATGCTGGCTAAACGGTGCTCTACGCTACAGGTGTAGGTCTGCTTTACAAAGCTCTCCTCCTCCTTGGACCAGGAGGCCATCCAGGTTATGCTTTTCTAATGTGCAAAAGGCAGTGCCACAGAAAGCAGCAGAAGCACCAATTACTCTTAAGGCCTAAGCTTGGAATTGGCACACTGTCATTTCTGCCCACATTTTATTGACCCAAAGAAGCCAATGTTCAAGCCTAAGGAATGGTGTTGGAAGTGTACTCTGCCTTTTGTGGAAGGAACTGTAAAATTACATTGCAGAGAACTTCATCAAAGGAAAGGGATGATGAGAAATTGGGGCCTAAATCAAAGTCTGAATAATCAAAATATTTGGGAGGAATTCTGAGAAACCCAATAACTTTTTTTCTCATTTGTGACTAATAAATTGTTAAACCTAGCCACTGTTTACATGATAGGATGATGTTTAATTAATCTCTGTGATTGAGGTATATAAATGAAACAAGTTTTCCAGCTGTAAAGCTAAGAGAGGTAAGAATGGGGACACCAGGTAGTTTTCCTCCAAACTTAGAAGGTAAAGAATTCAGTATTTTCATAGGTTTCCTTACATTACTAAAAGGCAATTATTAAAAATATTGTTTCATAAATACAAAAGAAGAACAGCTTGAGAATATTTAGTGTTTTCTCATGAAGTCAGTCTACATCAACTGTTTTCAGTTAGACCTCTAATAAGTAGGTTCTAAAAAGACTTACGCCATTAGATGGGTTTTGTTGAACAATCTGATGCTCCTGATGAAAGTAGAAACTGATTTCTATTCTGATTCTTTTAACTAACCTTTTCTTTAATAAACATAATAAATAAGAATATGGACTAGCAATATTCCATTTAATATTACTAGAGACTTGAATGTTCTCTCTATAAGTATGAAATAGTAAGCTTCCAAGTGAATTAAATAAGTTATTTTATTGAGATATGATGGTCATATTATATTAGTTTCAGGTATACATCAGAATGATTTGATATTTGTATAGTGAAACGATCACCACAGTAACTCATATCACCACAAGTAGTTACAAATGTTTTTTTCCATTTGTATGAGATGAGAATTTTTAAGATATACTCTTAGCACCTTTCAAAATGCTATACAGTATTATTAACTGTAGTCACCAAGATGTACATTGCATCTCCAGTACTTACTTATTTTGTAACTGGCAGTTTGTACCTTTCAACCCACTTACCTATTTTACCCACCCCTGCTCCTGCTGCCTCTTGTAACCATCAATCTGTTCTCTATGAATTGTTTTTTTTGAGGGGAGGGTTCTTTTTTTAGATTCCACATATAAGTGATATCGTATGGTATTTGTCTTTTCCCTGTCTGACGTATTTCATTTAGCATATACCCTTGACTGCTGTCCATGTTGTTGCAAATGGCAAGATTTCATTTTACTTACGACTCACATTCTATGGTGTGTGTGTGTGTGTGTGTGTGTACACAGACATTTTCTTTATCCATGAATCCCTTGATGGGTACAGGTTGCTCCCATATCTTGGCTATTGTAAGTAACGATGCAGTGAACATGGGAGTACATGTTATCTTTTTGAGTTAAGGATGAGATTATTTTTCACAATGTCCCAGATGTAGCATATTTTGATGTGCAAGAAAGAAAAGGTATGAAAAATAACCTTTTAGAAATTAAAAATGCCTAATGGTGAATTCTGTTCTTAGGAAGCTGTTCACTCTAATGTCATGCTCATAGAAAATAGTAGTACAGAAATAGCACTTTACAGCAGACTACAAGAAAATGTACCAAAATTTATGTGCTGGAATTACGATTTTTTTCTTCACAATGGTATAATATTGAGCTTCTGTTAAAAACCGGGCACAGTCTTAAGTGCTTTAGATTTATTATTTAATGTAATCCATAAACCTGATGAGGTAGAAATAATTATCCTTCTTTTACAGTTGAGGAAACATGTGTAAAGAGGTTCATAAGTTTCAAATGATCTATCACTTACAGGTATTACTTTTAAAAACAGAAATAAAATAGTAATAACCTTTTAAAGCAAGAAAATCCTGATGATGAACTGTCTGCCACATACAATCTGTAAGGTTTTTTTCTCCAGGGCTATGCTGTGCTGTATTATTGGGAAGATGGAGTTCCAGCACCTGCCTTGGGAAAGTTGCTTAACATCTCAGAGCCTCTGTTTCCTCAAGTAAAATGGCTGTAATTATACTTGACTTCTCAAAACTGTTGAGGAGATCCAATGAAATACATGAAAACTATAAGTCATTAAGTACCATATAACATTAGGCAGAGATTTATTATGTAGTGAAAATCTTAAAAATCTTTGGTAGAGTATTATAATTAGAGGTTACCTAGATAAGTCATGGCTCATTCACAATGAAAATATTCAAATAAAACCATAAAGAGCTATTATTCAGAAAATCAAACTGATATATATATATATAGGATCAAGTTGCATTCTTACTCAGTGGTACATAAGTTGGTAGTACTACAAAGTAAAGCCAGCTCTATATTGAGTCACTGTTATATTAACCCAAATAATATTTAGTGAACAATGTCTTTTATTTAAATGACATTTTGCATTACTTTTTGTTAATGCCAATTCTCACAAGTATCTGTAGAGCTAGGATTTTTAATATTAAATAATAGCTAAATAAGAGAAAACTGTTTTGTTCCCTGTTATATCTCCATTGCCTAGAATACTGTCTGAGACATAAGTATTTGTTAAAAATTGAATAAACTAATACTCTGATAACTGGAGAAGAGATTTTAAGAACAACTGTAACACATAATACATAAAAATGTCAAGCATAAATACCGCCAGTATGTGTAATACTCTGAAATTTCTTTGGCTCCCGTATGTGTGGCAGGTTTATCATTTCTTCTTATTTGCTTAGGGACGTGCTGCCTTAACACCAGAGAAAGAGGAATTTGCCCATGAGCATGAGGAAATGAAGAACCTAGAAGCCATTGTTCAAGAAATAAAGCCGACTGCCCTCATAGGTAAACTCCCTCCTTCCCATAAACCCCACCTCCACCCCACTTTGGTCTGATTTGTTTTCTTAGTACTTACTTTTGAGGCATCATTTAGCTTTTTGAAATTTTAAGTTTTGGAATTCACAAAGAAAATTACATATTCACCAAAGCAACAATACCCCAGAGACACCTAGATTTTTTACTTCAGTGCTTGTCTTCTTAACCTTACTGATCCCAGCTGAAGTGTGTGGCCCCTTTGCTAACTCTGTCTACCTGTTAATATGTGGCATATTCAGTGCTTTTCCAGGCTTGATTATTTCATATAGACAGTTTTCAAATGGGAGCAGTTACCCCCAGGGTAATATTTGTCCATGTCTGGAGATGTTTTTGCTTGTCCCAACTGGGTGGAGGTCGCAGGAGATCAGGGTTACTGACATATAGTAGGCAGAGCAGCGATGCTGCTGAGAATCCTGCAGCGGACAGGGAAGATCCCCGAAAACAAAGAATTAGCTGACCCAAATTGTTAATGGTGCCTCTGTTGAGGAACAGTGAACTAGGCCCTCCTTGAAGACGGGGACCGAATTTTACATATTTTTGTATTCCTCCTAGCACTTAACACAATAGCTTACACATTGCATGTGCACAGTAAGATACTTAATATGGTAAATTTAATGTGGTTAAAAAACTCAAAGGATACTTACCTGGCAGGGGAAGTGCCACGATCACGAAGGTGGCTTTTCCCAGGGCGAGGCCTAGCCATTGCACTCTGGTTATGCTGACCCCTGCGGTTTTCCCGTAAGTGGGGAACCCGACTGCATCATTTGTGGTAGTGGGGAACTGAGTTCACGCTCTCCCCTGAGGAAAAAAAAAAAAAAACTCAAAGGAAGAAATGAAACTTTAATCCTTATTTTGTGTTTGTATAATGTCAACCCTTACTTTATATCATACTCCATTCCTAGAAGCTCTTGTGAAACAGATGACAATATTGAGTATAATGATGATAAGCATAATGAAAACAAATACTTACTCCAAGACAGAAACTTCAGTAAGCCTTTATTGTTGTTTTCCAAAAAATACATTCTATTAGGAATTGGACTTTTTTTTCTTATCCATTATGCCAATTGCTTTATTCTTCTGTTAATAATCTTTCAAGGAGTAGTACTTCAGTTTTAAAATTGAATTAGGTGATTGTCTTCAGTGTTAGCCCTGGTTTATAAAACATAATTGTTTCATACCCAAGAGATTGAAATATATACATAGAATAAAAAAGATAATACATGTTGGACACATTTTAATTTCCAGTTTTAAAATTGAATTAGGTGATTGTCTTCAGTGTTAGCCCTGGTTTATAAAACATAATTGTTTCACACCCAAGAGATTGAAATATATACATAGAATAAAAAAGATAATACATGTTGGACACATTTTAATTTCCAGACATAAATGCCAGTAATCAAATTCCTAGTGATTGGTCAGTAACTCACTGTGTTATGAGCCAAATGTTCTATCTGTAATTTTAAATAGGTATTTATAGGTTTGTAACCCTAAAAGACTCTTGGCATTAATAAACATCTCTTTTTGTTACTTATTCTTAATACAAATATTCTATGTTTTGCTGAGAGTCTATCAGAAAATGACCTGACGTGTCTCACTGTTTTGGGGGCATGGGATTCTTGGATAATTAACCAATAATATTCCTATTCACCAGTTTCTCATTTCTTCCCTAGGAGTTGCTGCAATCAGTGGTGCATTCTCAGAACAAATTCTCAGAGATATGGCTGCCTTCAATGAACGGCCTATTATTTTTGCTTTGAGTAATCCAACTAGCAAAGCAGAATGTACTGCAGAACAGTGTTATAAACTAACCAAGGTAAAGCAAAAGTGCAACTTATTTTAATCTAGTTTTGATTCCTATAGGGAAGTGCAGGATATCTAAGGTGCTTACCACATAACCTTTAAAATTTACACAACCAAGATTGAAAGAAGAGTGAACTGGTTAGAAGGGATATGACCTATTTCCTTTTCTAGAATGTTGTATAAATCCTTTTCTTCGATAAGACAAAAACAAACTTTGTAATGTTTTAAATGTTCCTCAAGTGATTTGGAAGTATCTAAGATTTAAACATAAAAGTTAAACAGGAAAAAACTCATTTTAGATGCTTATTAAAGTAGCTTTGAACTAGCTATTCCAAAACATTGAAGCATACAGTATAAAACCACAGTCTTATTTTTGCTTTGCTAAATCCTGGGGTTGGATTTTGATGCTGTGGGTGAAGCATTTGGGCAGCTATTTTGATAGCCATCCAGGTTGGGATAGTCCTCAAAAACCAATATTTTTACTGTTTCCAAAAAGTAACTTATTTTATATTATGTTTCTGTTAATACATATTTGACTTTATGTTGACAACAGCTTTTTTTCCCTTCAAAGATTTGAAAATTTCATTACAACAAAACAGAGATTGAGTCATATATGTCTAACTTTTATTTGGGAAATAAATCTAAAATGAACTAGAAAAGGTAAACTCAATTCAAAGTTAGGTCACTGCACAAATCAGAACTTGATAGCTCCACTTCTTTAATATAAGCTTAAATGTTCAAAATTAGAATTAATGAAATTTTGGCAAGGAGCTACTCCATTGGAGGAGCAGCAATGTCCTCAGCAATTTTAATTTTTATGTGATTTCTGGGTTGGGAATTTGCCTCACATTCTTCAGTAGGCCTTAAATCCTTAAAGGGAAAAAAACCTCTCTGAACAATAACAGAATTTTAGCATGATGCATTGCACATAGTAGGCCCATAATGTTTAAGTAATTATTTTGTCTTAGTGTCTCAATAGGCCTCTTTATAGACTCACTAGTAATAGTCACAAACAAAATCAGTCAGAGTTATATAGTTGTGTTTAAAATTTGAATGTGTCTGATATAAATGGCCTAAACTCTTTTTTATGATCTTGCCTAATGTTCTGTTATATATAAAATTGAAAGTCATTTTGAAGCTAAAATTTTAAACACTGGTTCAGCCCAAAGGATCACAGACCAAGCAAAGGTCTGCCTGTTGCTGGATAAGTCTCTTGCTACAGGCACAAAAGAAAGGTCATTAGGAAAGTTTAAAAGTACAAAATACAAAAGATTATTGAATCAGCAAAAACTGTAATCCAAAAATAATATGGAGAGGTTTCCTTCTCCATAAAATGACTAATCTATATACACAGGAAAGTATAGCCAACTATCATTTATTGAATGCCATTTGTCTTTAAAATATGATTATTATGGAATGGTAGGCAGGAAGAGTGGTAGAGAAGGAGGGGAGGGGGATAAACCAGCATATAGATAATGTTTCAGGTCTCTTCTCAAATACACTTTTCAAAGATACATGAATATGCATATACATGCACACACACAAACATTTTCATATGTATCAAATAATTTAGTTACATTAGAAAGTTGCTTGTAATAAAACATTTTGTCTGCTCAAGAGAGCTGAAGCTATCAGATGTGTCTGAAAAGAACCTAATTTTGTGCAGAATATAACAGTGTCTTACCGACACTTAGAGGAGATTTTGTTTTCTTTCTCATCTATTTTCATCTTTTTATATTTTTTTATATCCTGAAGTAGGTTGAATCATGTTATACAACTTTACCTTCTAAAAGATCTATTATGACATTCGTTAAAAATGAATATTAAGTTAATATTATTAATATAATGGATTTAAACTCTAGATTTCATCTATTGCCATTTAAACTGTGCTTTGGCGATTTGGTGTTTTAGAGTTTTCAGATGGGTTTCTCCGGCTGTGATGCTTTATTTGAGGGTTTGCTATTCCTGTCTTAGAAGACTGAATACTTACAACTCTACCTCCATCTTCACCCTCACAGATCAGGCAGATGCCCCCCTTCTGTTTAGCAATATGGAATGCAGTGTCTGACAGGCCCAATGTTAATAGTACCATCTCCAAACATGTAATAATGAGGCTCTGCAAAAACATTATGACAAAGTATTAAGATTTTCAAAATTATTGACAATTTAATCTCCCTCTTATTTGCTAAGCCCATCTGCACTAATGAGTTTGTTTGCTATATCGTTTTCCTTGTAATTCTTTACAATTTAGAAATATGTAAATTTTGTCATGTGTTGATCCCTAAACTCTAGAAATTTAGAAATATGTAAATTTTGAAATGTGTTGATCCCTAAACTCTAGTCTAAAATATTATTCTCTCCAATTATTCTTTCAATATTATTTGACATTAACCAATTATTTTTTATCTTCAGAGGAAGTCTATATATATAAATAGTTAATAGGTCCATTGCTTGGACCACTACAGAGAATACAATAGTGGTCTTGGGTGTCCTGTACTTTGTATACTTCTCTACTCCTTGAAGTAAAGAGTAAGAGAACAGTAAAAATCACCCACTCCAGAATTTATTTCCAACATCATAAAAGCTTGTCCAGACTTACTAGGAAGTTAATGAAAAGTTAGATTTCTTCCTAAACACTCAGTACTTAAACTATCGAATATGATGCATTTGTTTTAAAATATCCTGCTCTTTTTAAAGTTAGCTGTGTGTCTTATGTTGTAGGGGCGTGCAATTTTCGCCAGTGGCAGTCCTTTCGATCCAGTTTCTCTTCCAAATGGACAGACCCTCTTTCCTGGCCAAGGAAACAATTCCTACGTGTTTCCTGGAGTTGCTCTTGGTGTTGTGGCATGTGGATTGAGATGTATCACAGATAAGATTTTTCTCACAACGGCTGAGGTATTGTAAAATACTCTTAGTTCACCAAGGCTATAATATACCACGCAAGCCCAGTGTAAGATAAATGTTTTATTTATCTTAGCATCCCAGCTCACTCCCTAGAAAGTGTAAAGTGCAAAGAGAAAATCTTTCCAAGTGGAGAATAAGGGGTGGGTAGAAGGTTCATACTAAGCCACTAGTATAAGATTTTTCTTCATTAACCAGTAGAAAAATTGTGTTCTAATCTTTTAAAAGGAACTCTTTTTTATCTTCACACTTCCTGTTAAAAATTCTATGACAGTAGTTGATCAATTAAAAATAAAAATACTGTTTCAAAATCATGATGAAGTGGTAAGTATGTCTCCTTTGAGAACCTTCCTAAATGATGAAATTCTGAAGTTTTAACATGAAAGTCTGGTTTGGTATAGCAAAGAAGTGTTTTACCATTCAGGGTTCAGGGCAGAAAAAAAAACAGCTGTAGTGCTTTAAAGCAGAAAGAGAATTAAAACAGGGAATTAGGTGTTTATGAAGCTGTCAAAGGGCAGAAGTGGGCTCTAGAATGGGCTTTTAGGAAAGACTCTCAGGACATCACAGAGCAGACCCACCGAACTATTGTTAAGAACATTGAAGGATCCAAAATTTTACCCTACTTACAAGCTAATAAGTTAGTCTGCCACAGCTTCATACAGATGCTGGCAAAAGACCCAAAACTCTTAAGTCAGAGACAAAGAACTTTATTACTCATGGCACAGGAACTTCCGGTTCCCATCAGTCCCTACTTCTCCCAAGCCTCAGGAGGATGATACAGCGATTAGGCATGTATATTGGTAAGATCATGGCTCGTGAAAATCAGAAGGTTTATCTGGTTAGTACCATGTTTGAACATGATGCAATTCATGAGTGAGAAATTTGAATGAATTTCTTCTAAAATTAAACCATTGTACAACATTATAACTGAACTGAACCAAATAAAAGTTGGTTAGCATTGAAGTATTTTCATATCACGAAACAAAGTTCTGTTCTATGCAAAGGAACTCTAAGAACATAGACAAAGATTCTGATGTTACTGATGCGATCTTAAGGAGTGTAATCCTAGTGTTTAGCACCTGGGTCATTCCGTGACAACAGGTGTCTGGAGACTAATGTTCTGTTCTTTTTTTCTCTTTATGGCATTAAAAGCAGGACAGCTTTTAGTTTCAGATTGTGTTTAACTCAAAGATCTTTTTAAGCATAAGTAGATGTCTAAGTACTTTAGCTTTTTAAAGTTACTCTCTTACATTAACAAAATGTAATCATTATCCTTTATAACAGACACATTAGAAGGAAAAAAAAATCATATTTTACTCAAGTAGCCTGTATTTGCTTTACTAAGTAACTCTAGCACCCTCTAGTGAAAAATTTCATGAAAAATCTTTCCATTTACTATCCAGGAAAATTAATAATCATTACCAAAAATCTTTGGAGAAAAAAAGTAAAATGTGGTGATGTCTGTGGTGTTATCCTTATCACAGTTATTGTTCTTTTTGGCTAAATTTTTTGGCCTTTCCACTGGTTTTCTCTTAGGCTTCAGCATGACACTCCTGCTTCTCATACCACCTCACTGTTTTCTTTGTCTCCTTTTCATGACCCTTTAAACTAAGAGCTTTTGTCCTAGCATTCTTTCTTGGTCCTTACTTTTTCCTTCTCTCTCTCTCTTCATTCTAAAAGTGGCCAGATCCATGTAGTTACCTGATTGATTTTCCCACAGGAATGCCCTGCTACTTCTTAAATGCAAAATGTGTGAGGCCCTACTTCTCATTTGGCCTTGCCCTCAGCATTCACATCGCCATCAGTGACACCCCTGTTCTAGGCAGGCACCACAGCCTAAAAGCCTAATGTTCTTTTCATCCTCCCTCATCCTTCTAACACACTGCATACGCAGACCTGTGTGACTGCTCTGTTACCCTCCTGGAATACTCTGAGAACTGTTCCCGCCTGTCCAAGCTTATCCTGCAGGGCAGCGTAAGTCCCACCTCATCCTCGCATCCTTTTGTGACTGTTGTGGCTCATCTCGATCTTTCTCCTTAGCCATGAGTATCTTTATCAAACACTTTGACTTTTAATTTTATTCCTAGTTGTATTGTGCTCTTGAGAGCTTCAATGTTTAAAACAGTTACATGTTGCCATGTAATTAAATTGTAAATTATCTTCTCTAAAGACAGTCTTCCATATACTTCTTTCAAAACATAACTGGCACCTAGCACACTGCTAAAGCATACACCAGACCTTAGTAAACACTTAGTGAATGAACTAAACAGAACTAGTCATATGTCTTAGTGAGAAGAATAAATACAATACCACGGACATTTGTTGTTAGAGGGCTTCATAAAAGAAGAAAGTCCTTGTTTAGATTCTGTTTTTTAGTTAAGAAAAGTGACATGTAGGAGATATAGGTGAATTTTTTGTTTGGCTACCTCAAATTGAGTAACTTAGTTTTTTGCAAAAATAATAGTTGGATCTCTCATTTAACTGGAAATCTCATGGGTTAGTATCAATCCCAAAGACTTTCTGGACATTTTTATATCATAAAGGGATGTTTGGTTTCCCTGGCACTCTGGACCATCTTCTGGGCCTCTACTGAGATCAGCCCTCGTGGCCCTGCACGGTCTGTGCAGCAGCCTGGGAGCAGATCCCTTATCCCCGGCCTCCTCTCCCTCCACCCTCCTCCTGGGTCAACCACTCTGTGTCCTCTCCTCTGACTTGCACCGTCCCTTCTGTTATCTGTCAAGAGGACAGTAGAGATGATCTCCATAAACAACAGCATCTGGACATTCACTCCTGTTGTAACATTGCCAGGTGAGACAAAAGAGATGGCTTGAAAGCAGCCACAGTGTAGCTGGAGAGAGCGATGCCAGTGTTCTGTCAAAAGTGGCAAGTCGTTTTTGAACGAACAAGCCAGCAGGTGAGAGCGAGATCAAGACTCCTGTGTACTCTTTCCTTACCCCCCAGGTAACAGCCTAACTTCAATGGGAAATTAGCATAAATAGTTTTATTTTGCCCCAGTCAGTGTTTTAAATAATTATCTATCAAATCTCCCTTTCTTTTCTTGAAGTGGCATCTCAGTAACTTTCAGTTCACTTTCAATTCACTTGTTCTTTGGGCAAATATTTACTAAGTACCTACTATGTATTAGGAACTTTTCTAGGTGCTGGGGATACATTGGTGAACAGTAAGTAAACATCTGTCCAGTCCAAAATTTTCATCCAGTTCAGATGCCCTCTCCTCTCCCTGCAGTGTGGGAGGCCTGCAAGTAGCAGGTAGAGAAGAGCCACTTTCTCTTCTACTCTTCCTCCAACGCCAGCACCTTGGTTTAGGGGAAGGAGTTTGGTGAGGCTCTGGAAAAACTCTTCCCCTTCTCATCAAGACCTACTTCCTCAAATGTGTTGGAAATAGGAAGGAAGGATATGGAAAAGGGAAAACATCTCTTTTATTAATTCTGCACTATTTTAGGTCATCAAACCATTTGTTGTAGGATCCCAAGTCTGGCTCTGTTATGAAGCACATGCACAAGAGTCTCGAGGACCCGCTGGGGCCTGCTGGGGCCTGGCTCAGCTCAGCTCCGCCCCCCCATCCCCCACATCCCCTGGTCTCCCCAGCCTGTGAGGCCGCCTCTGCGGTGGTCACATGACCTTGGGACTCATGCATTCGTGCCCTATTCGCAGCCACCATCATGTCTGGTTCTCCCCTACCGTTCTCTTGTCTGCTTACAGAAACACATCTGCAACTGCTCAGCCTACGTGGGGAGCAGGATGCCAGTGGCTCCTTCTTGAAGGTACCTCCAGTTTTCAAGAAGTGGCATCCAAGAAGAAGCAGGCAGAAAAGCCACTGCACTGTCCCTGAGGCCAAATCGTGGCTCTGGCCACCCTTCCCGCTCCCCACCCAGCTCCCCCACCTCTTAGGTTCTGAGGGGGATGACATGTCCTGCCTGTTTGATGGATTCATTATAGAGTGTGGCACACTTAATGTCTCTTTGTCCCAAAGTTGGGGGCCCTGGTCACCAATTGAGGGGCAAAGGAACGGTTTTACTTGACAGCTTGTTACAAGGCAAGAAATAAGTTAAATGATGTGTTTATTTTAAAATTCTTTGTGATACAAGGTGATCATTTATGTAATTATATAATATTGTGTATAATATGTAATGCATATTAATCAAATGGCAGTTAATGCTAGTAATTTCATCTCCCTCTCCCTCACTCACACCCCTGCCTCATACATTTCTGCCTCTGGTCTGAATGTCTTCTTTCTGGGATGTCCACTCCTTTCCTGTTTGCCTGACTCCTAGCTTTCCTTCGACTCCACATTCAAGCTCCCTCCCTCCACTGTTCCTCTGCATTTCTTAGCAGTCACAGTTAGCCAGGCCACCTTCTCTTTCGCTATTCTCTTTTTTTCCCTGGGCCCTGTGCTCACTGAATTTTAACTTCATCAAGGGCAAGAACCACTTTTTTAACCTCTTTTGCTGTTGGGCTGGCTCAGTGTCTTTCGTATTTTGCTGGTTGCAATGAAACAGTACTTCAGACAGACATAACTTCATGATTAAAAAATCTAAAAGATACTAAAGGACACTGAAACATGAGCATCAAAGTGTTTCATGTGAGCAAGGTCTTCTGCTTCCTCTCCATACTCAGCTCTATGAAATAACAGACCCAGTGGGCACTGATTTACACTCAGCCCACTGAGACTTACTCAAGGTCTTGGAGCTGGAAGGGAGCATCAAGGCTGCTAAGTCCTAGGAGGTTCAGTAAGTAATTTAGTTCATAGTTGTTATTGTTGGACCATTTGAAAGCAATTTATAAATAGTATGTCTCTTTACCCCTGGATATTTCAGGACATTATCGTATGTGATCACTGTGCCATTATGAATTCAGGTACTTTAATATTGATATTATAATATTATCTAATATAGAGTCCAAATTCAAATTATCCATACAGAAGACCTTTATTGCCTCTAGACTAATCCCTTATTACTCAAGAACATTTCAACCTTTCTGTTTGTTTTATGGTATTGACATTTTGGAGAGCACAGGCCAGTTGTTTTTTACAATGTTTCTCAATTTGGGTTTATCTAATTGTTTCCTCATGATTTAACTCAAATGGTTTTGTGAGGTGGCCTGAATACCTAATGACTGTTTACTTCTTGATGCACTACATCAGGAGGCATATGATGTCAATTTGTTTCACTTTTTAGAAACTGTTGAGGTATGATTGATGTCCAAAAATTATATATATTTAATTACAAAATTTGATGAGTTTGGCACAGAGGCACTGAACAACACACTAGAACAGATGGACCTAATAGCCATCTATAGAACTCTACATCCAAAAGCAATAGGATACACATTCTTCTCAAGTGCACATGGAATATTCTCCAGAATAGACCACATAGTAGGCCACGAAAAGAGCCTCAGTAAATTCCAAAAGATTGAAATCCTACCAACCAACTTTCCAGACCACAAAGGTATAAAACTAGAAATAAACTGTACGAAGAAAGCAAAAAAGCCAACAAACACATGGAGGCTTAACAACATGTTCCTAAATAGTCAATGGATCAACGACCAAATTAAAATGGAGATCCAGCAATATATGGAAACAAATGACAACAAAAACAAATGACAACAAAAACAAAGCCTCAACTTCTGTGGGACGCAGCAAAAGCAGTCTTAAGAGGAAAGTATATAGCAATCCAGGCATATTTAAAGAAGGAAGAATAATCCCAAATGAATAGTCTAATGTCACAATTATTGAAATTGTAAAAAGAAGAACAAATGAGGCCTAAGGTCAGCACACGGAGGGACATAATAAAGATCAGAGAAGAAATAAATAAAATTGAGAAGAATAAAACAATAGAAAAAATCAATGAAACCAAGAGCTGGTTCTTCGAAAAAATAAACAAAATAGATAAGCCTCTAGCCAGACTTATTAAGAGAAAAAGAGAGTCAACACACATCAACAGAATCAGAAATGAGAAAGGAAAAATCACGACGGACCCCACAGAAATACAAAGAATTATTAGAGAATACTATGAAAACCTATAT